ACAATAAACTTGGGACATTTATTATGTTTTGTAAAAAGCCATTTTATAAAATAACCCTATATAGTTAAACCGAGTATTACGCAGGTTGCACGCTCTCCTTGTACATAATATATGCCAACACAGAAAAGTGAAAATGCCTTAATTCATTTCAATTATGAACATTTTGCACTCCTTTTCTATAATCACTTGAAGAAAAACGAATGTTTCGTCTTTCATGAAATTATAAACAATACGTTTTCGTATTACAGAGCGACTGATCAAATCGTACTTCTACATCGTACGCAAGTCCATCCAAGACTCAGTCCCGAAGGCAGTGATGCATTTCCTGGTAAACTACGTGAAAGATAACTTACAGTCTGAATTGGTGACGCATCTGTACAAGTCGGACCACGCTGAGACTCTACTAAACGAGTCTGAACACATCGCGCAAAGGAGGAAGGAAGCTGCTGATATGCTGAAGGTAAATTTAATCTCAATCATATCCCGAAGAGTACACTTGTTACTACTACACAAAGTGTTTGCAAAGTTACACTAAGTTACGTGCTATATACTTTCATATCGTAAATATGGTGACCCCTTTTTGTCACACTCTGTAATCGCGACAATAGATTAGATCTAGTTAAAAAGAGATTAATGCTAGAATTTATTTTCACCATTTCAATTCTGAAGTACAACAAATTTCTCAAGTTACCAACATGGTAGTAATAGATATTTGTCAGAACATATGTATATATTTTATTATTGTTTTGGATTAATGTTTTGTTCCTTATTACCAGGCTTTGCAACGCGCTGGCCAAATTATCAGCGAGATCAGAGAGACACACATGTGGTGATGGTCTTCGGACGGGGACTCTAGTCTGTGAATTAGTGAATTCAAACCCACTCTGTACATACTCCCTTAGTGTAGGTAAATTATTAGGCATTTGACTTATTTTGAAACGCTCTTGCATTTGCTTTTATAATTATTGTATTTTCTGCTCTCTAAGTATTCTTTTTTTTTTTCATGACAATCTGATTGGGTCAGATTATTGTCTAAATTTTATTGTGAAAGTAATGTACCAAAAAATCTGAGTCAAAGCAGAAAATTTAGAAGCAAATGCATTATGGCAGTAGGTATATTTACACTTATTGAAAATGCACAGCACAGTGATGAAATTTGCTCCAATAAGGCTTTTTGGAACAATTTGTTATTAGTATTATTGCATACTACAGAAGGCATTCGAAAGAAACTGTTTATTTTTAAAAATACCCCTGTGAACACGTATAATTTGTGCTAATAATGTTTGACCAACTTGCACAATTGTGAAAGTTATTTGTTAATATCAGTTACCATTGCATAAGTAGTGAAGTATTTAAGCGTACGCATGTAAGTTTTCTCAAATGTACTCATGGTAGGTGTAACTCAGTGATATTACTTGTAACTTGCGTTATTAACGTATTTTCTATTAATCGAATGTGTCTAATCGTCTGTCATGAACTTTTCAAGTTTTTTGAATCATTACAAAATTGTATTAAGGTCTAGAAGTAATAAAATTTGTTTTCACGTTTTGTTTTAAACAGGGTTGGTTATTTAATAAAATAGTTGTGATTGTAACTGTTTAAATGCTACAAGACATTAGGGCTAGATACTGCTTCTGCATTGTTTTTAAATTACACATAAGCTTTTTGTTCTTGTAACCTAAGTTCCTTGTTCATTATTAGATAGTAATTCAGCACGCTGTGTTATTTTTTCAATTACGTTTAGTCATGTTGTGTCATGTCGGAACGATCGGTGATTTATTTATTTTAACATCGGTAGTGCGTATTCCAATGTTACACAATGTATTTTTATAGTTCGAGGTGTGATTTGCTTATATATCGAACGAAACCAATTTAATGTTACAGGAGGTAAGATTGTATTTAAAAGTCTGTTATAAATAGATCGTCAAATTCAAATTATGTTTTTCATTTAGCTACTTGCACCGATATCTCCGAAATTATCATTTCGTTAATTCGAAAATTATTTTTATTTGTTGACTTGAAAATAAGTGCACCTTAGCCCTGTCACTGTAATCGAGTTACATGTCGAGTTATTAAAATTAGTGTACTTGTCAGGTGAAACGTGATTTTAGTTGATTGTAATCGCTAAAGCGGAGAAATGGTCGGACCTCCATTTTAAAGTTACTGCCATGTTGTGTGTATGTTCACGTTGGGATAAACCTGTTCCGGTAGCACCAATTGTCAATCTCAAGAACCCCAGCACCTAGATGACATTTGATTGCACTGATATATAATCGGTCTTAGTAGCAAAAACCTAGTCATAGTCGATACGCCATTTTGAAGTTACTAGATTGTTTACTGCATACTGTGATACTGCATATGACTTTATTCCGGTGGCACATTTTACAATCTCTGTACTTACAGCATCTGTCTTGGGTCTGCACCCCGAAAAAGTTGTTTCATTGGCGTGTAGTGAATCAAATTATATATTCACCAACACTGTAATCTTGAATTTCACATATTTTGAGTTACAACACTATTGTGATAACAGCGCGATATATCTGATGCTGTTGTGTTTTCTCCAGCGTTTTCCGATAATTCGGAAGTATTCGCCGGTTCATCATCATTACCGTCGCAATCGAGAGGACATCTGAGATCCATGTCGCGTTCACGTAGAGGTGTTTGTAGTCGAGTTAGAGGTACTTCAAACACCCTTCCGGCCTTTACTCCGATCATAGGTCCTCAGTTGCCAGAATGCTAATGATAAGCAAGATAATTGGTCGAAACACAAGTTTGAGCCAGAATTTAGTGCTTGCAACCCGCCTATTTACCGATAGATACTACGGAATGGGCATGGTATAGACTCTACCAGCATTGGGTATATCGATGATTTTTGTTGACTGTTGCAAAAAATTGGTTATAATAAAAAAAATCTGAGATTTGTTTGTTTTGTGCCAAATAGAAACTGCTTCATCGAATTTTACGAGGCTGAAAGTTAGAATAAATATGTTTCTGTTAATCTCTTACGTTCATTCCTAATTTACAATTTAAAAAAAAATTGTAAATTAGATTATAATAGTAATAACGTTTAAATAATAGAAGTAATATCTCGTTTTTCAGAAGAAATATTCGTCTTTTATGTTTATATTTAATAGGTACATTTTGTTTTTTTTTTTTTTTTCAATAAACAATATTTTATTCAAGTATTCCTTTAACTTAATTGCTAATTAGTCCACTTACAACCGTTCAAAATTTTAAACGGACATCTTAATATAGTGCCGTTGTCCTACATACAGGACATAGTAAAAATCCGGTTTTCCAGAACAAATATTTTTTTAAATATTCTTCCCATACTTTCTAAAATATTAACAACAATCCCTGAAAGTTTCATAAAAATATAAAAAAAGGTCTCTGAGTATATAGGCAGGAGGATAAAAATAAAAGTCGAATGTAATGAATTAAAGGTATGTATTTATTTGGATAAAAATAATATCGATGGTATTTACACCTCAGAAAGCTTGAGATACTTAAAGCGTCATGTTAAGTAATTTGAGTATTCATGACAAGACAGAGGCAACTTCGTAACAAGAAAACTTAACAGTCTCACTTGAATATATTTTCGGATATGAAAATTGGTCCAAAAAAGGTTATCACTTCCTAACCAAACATGCGCTTAACGAAACAATGGCACTCAATTATATTTAACAATACAATGAACGAACAACACGAACCTAAAGACGCTAGGCAGATATACCACAGCCAATTATAACAAATGTATAATTTTAACAAACAAACACCACACTACTGAATGAATATTTGATTGTGGAACAGGATTTGTATTTCTAAATCTAACTTTACTCTTTTGTCTTACTATGCCATTGAGTTGAGGTATAATATATTTATGTACGGATGCATGTACAATCTTTAAGATCGGTACTTAAGAAAAGTATTGGAAAAGTCAAATCACCAGAATAATTATAAAGTTAAGCATTATCCCATAGAATCAAACAGTTGATGTGAGACGACACTACAAGTGAATTTACAATTACTATAAAATAAGACAATGAAACGGCACTGCAAGATCAAACAAGAGTAACGTGGACACCATACGATAGATAAGGTACTAATGGTCACAACACACATATTATTCACATTAATGACTAATTTAACGTCATGACCTTTAAATTTGAGCTCAATCTTACTGTTCAATATGCATTAGAGATGAAACGGATAGTGATTTGGCCGGATATCCGGCCGTCGGATATCTGACCCACAGCGGTAAACATGTCGCGACCGGTTTACAGCGCGCGTCGCTGTGATTGATTGATTACTAATGATTGCACTTTCACATTGACGATTTGATTTGTTATGGTCACTTGGTTTTAATAAAAACTATTAATTTATTCGATAATACAAACAAATACATAACAAAAAATGTTAACAGTGAAAAAAAATTCCAAATTCAGCAATATTTTAATATCTGCTGTTTGTTTGTTGTGCCGAATGCAAATGTCTCGCGGTGGAGAAGGAAGAAAAGCAATTACATCATTTTTTGGCTATATTAAAATTTGTAGTTGTTATAAACCTAGCACTTGATACGCCCGTTATTATTTTGTTTCAATTTGATTTCATTAATTTGTTTGTGATCTAACTAATTCTAGATACGAGATTTGCCAACAGAAAAAAAAATCTACTTACAGTTTCATTATTGTTGGTACACATTGTATTTGAAGACAGTTCAAATCGAGCGTGATCGCGATCCTTTCATTTGGTGGTTTGTCAATAACAAATTTAACAAAGTTTGCAAGAGTTTATAATGAAAAACTGTCCTCTGAAGCTGCTCTCGTTTATGAAAATAAATAGAACCAACTTTTACCACTTAATGCAGAACAACTGGTCTTCATTCTCTCTCGTTTGGCCTTTATTAAAATTTGAGTACTAAATTTACAGATAACTTTATCTAACTTCATAGTTGTTTTAGTTACAAGTAATAAACAGATTGTGAACGATCCTGTTGTTGCTCTTTTTCCTATAACTATCATCTTTAATCAATATAACAATTTATTTATCAACCATTTTTTTTCCTCAGTTTTATGCATCCGGCCGGATACCGGATAGTTACCGAATACCCGTTTCATCTCTAATATGCATTATCACCCGCGCTGTATTGAAGTTTTCATTGGTTATATAAAAACAACTGCGGGATATGGTAATTTTTTGTGACGAGCTTCAAACATTTTTCAAACAAATTTCACCTGGTATGGTTGACAATATAAGTCTAAGTATGGTGTAACTTTAACTATTGTATACTGAATAATCAAGATTATTACTCCACATGGCAAGAAGTGAAATTACTAGTAAACTATTCAGTTATATGTTTACCTGATTATGGGATACTTTTACAATATTTATGTGAGGAGATTGCAATAATGTAAAATTTTGTAATTATCATTTGTAATTATCATAATATACAAAATATAATAGAGGCATTGCCGCACAATGGGAAAACGTAGCCAACATTATGAGCGCCCTGACCGCGGGGACCTAATGTCCTCCATTTTATCTATTATAGTTGTAGTATTTAATTAATGTTATTCCTTTGTTATGTACCTCGTGCGTACTAAACTAATTGTGATTAATCTATAATTACTTATTACACCACAATTTACAGAATATAAAAAACAATTAAACTAACGTTTATTCCAATTATTCCCTGACGTATACGGTATTCAACAAATAAAAACCTTAATAAATATAAAAAATTAAAAGCTTTTCATTACAATAAAAAGTAGATAAGCGGGTGGTCAAATATGAAAACACCTTTTCCCAAATAGAGATCGTCTACTACTACTGCCTTCAACCATCAATATTAATGTATTAACAAAAAACTTTAATTAAATATCCTGGAATAAAAGTGGCATTTTCCTATTTATTATGAGATTTCGGTACATCTATACTATTTCCATCAACGATTTATTGAATTTTTACTATCAAAAATACAACCCTGAAATCACTTTCGTGTCAATATTTATATTGTGTATTTTGTGCCGATAACGAATACGATTTTAGTAAATAAATGTTATATTTAAAAGTAGATCTGTAATAGTGGTTTTTGATTCACTACTATGATATTTATTTATTTATTTCACTAGTTTGTATTAATAATTATAAAAAAGTAGATCTGTTAACAATCTATTTTGTACTTAGCGAGATTAACGCGCTGGATGGAAAAAATAGTGTCTTTATTTATAGGTTATCTATTTCTCTTTTATTATTCCCATTCGAATAGTGGTATTTAATAATAGGCGATAAATTTAATATAGGTACATGAACTTTAAATCTAGATACTGCCCTCATAATAACTAACGTAATCGACATTTTTAGCGAAATTGCGTTATAACCCCCAAGCGTTTTTTTATATCTTATTTAGTTTCGGTTTAATTTCGGTTAAGTTTTACAAAGAAAAAAAACCTCTAGGTGCTAATATCTCTAAAAGTTACCAAAATGCAAATGCATTAGTTATAACAAGGAGTGCAGACTAGTTGCAGAGCAGACGGTTGTTAGTGTTGATTTTTTAACATGAGATATACAATTATATTACGCAACTAATTCACATTTCTAAAGTTATTGCTATCCTTTCAACTCTCTAATAGTTTAAATACAACCTATCGTAATTGAATTGTTTTGTCCTTTGGTGGCCTATCTTTGTGTAAGCTTGTTTTATCTTTTGAAAACTGTGTTGCAATACCATTATCTCACATTAGACTTATTGTTTGCTTATTTACAAACTGTATTACAATTATGCCCTTGTAGGTTCAGCAATAATTTTCGTTATTACGTGAGACATGGAAAATTCCTCGTCTCTCGTAAATACAAATCTATTTTCTTTTTACAAAATATCTTACAATTTCGACCGACATGATAGAAACAGCAAAGTGTGCGGACGTTTACCTCCATACAAATTTTCATATCAAAGCCATACCAAAGCGATAACTTGGCTTTATTAAACTCAATACTTTTGATTTTCATAACAAATTAATACACCACTTAGCACAGGGGTCCACAATATATCATAATACTCACTAATTAGCGAACTTCACTGAGTAGGAGTAATCTACGTTGAAGTTCCTTGTCCCCTTATAATATGTACTGTTCAATCACACAAGCATACAAGTCCAATGTTCACACGGCGGTGATGAGTTTGCTGTGCGAGCGCACTGCCCGATGCTAGGAGCCTGGTGCCTTCTTCTCCACGTCAAGAAGTTTGTCGTCCGAACAGAACTTCTCCAGTTGTTTCTCGTAATACGTGTTGAATTTTAATCTGAACGATAAATAATAACATAATTGAGTAGCAGATAGAGATAGTTGTTATATATAAAGTTGCTAATTATGTTTGACGCCTCGGTGGTCCAATGGTATGTAGCGTGGGCACTGAATAACTAGGTTCCGGGTTCGATTCCGATTAGTACCAGTAGAGCTCCTTGTAAAAGAGTTCGTCCAGGGTAGTACTGCCACCTTATCTATTTCTGCTGCCAAGCAGTAATGTCAGCATTATTGTGTTCCAGTTTTGAAGGGTAAGCGTGCTGGTGAAATTACAGGCATACGGGACTTGTCAACTTATGTCTCAATGTGACGCACGTATTGGCAGTGCCCCTCAGATCTTTGCGATTTAAATCGCTAAGTGGTACTGCAACTTTTGTGGACAGGCCTGTAGCTTACCATCAGGCGCACGACTTGTTCGTCCCGTCACTTATTATTAAAAAAGAACAAATTTTTCAAATTGTTTCTGGTCAGGGTGTCTCGAAGTGCCCCAGAGTTAATTTCGTTGCTCTGGTACAGAGAATTTTCTAGTTTGAGATTTGTAATTTTAGTGGATGTTTGGCATGTTACATTACATTACAATTACATACGATCACAGACATACATCTAGATAGACGCCTTAAGTACAGCAATTTCTATGAAAACCAAGCGTGCCACATTTTTTGTACCCACTATGACGTCACAAGAACTATATAATGATGGAAACCTCCTTCCGCTCGCTCTAAATCGATTGATTGAACGGAACAATACACGCGTCTTCCATTCAATTATTCGATTCTAAATAGAATAATTTTTGTTCAAGTATTTGTTGATTACAAGTAGTCGTAATATTAATATAGTAGAAAAACACTAGAATAACATAGTTAAGTCCTTATTTTACTTGCTTTTAAAAAATGTTGATTACTTAAAAAAATTAAGACTTTAATTTTTAATCGACTTCAAATATTAAAATTATTGTCCTTCCAATAAAATGAGCTTATTATATAACTTCTTTTTGTAATAGAAGATCTTATCGATTAACTTAAATAATGAAAACGCACGTCAATATACGAACTTGCGACTGCCTTAATTAATTTTACTAGATGGTTTTCAGGTTGTTTCAGTAATTGATCAAATTGAATGAATGGTAAGACAAATGACAAAATATGGTAAAATCTTACTAATCAGAAGAGGTTTACTTAATGATGGCCTCGTGTGAAATTTTTGAGATTTGTTTATTAATTCTCGGATTTCTAGCTCTGTATATTTGGATAGCATCTTAGGTGGGATAAACTAGACCACCTTCGTCCTCGAAAACGACGAACTTATACGTATGACCAACTCCAGTTTTTGTAGAGACAGCGCAATGTTCATTCTTTCCACTATATTTTTTTTTGTACACAAACTATAACTCCGGCGATGTATGTAATTATTTACTTATTATATTCGGACATTCGAGGCAACGTGCTGAAAAAATTATCGAAATTACAGATACTACTAATAATAGATACTACAAAACTGAAAAAAAAACGCAACGTTACTAAACATTATAACAAAAGAGTTATAGAATATTTTTATAATATTGCTAAGGTCATAATAATTTTCATCCCTTTATTTTCAGTTAGTCGGTGAAATAGATTATAAGAAAAATGAACATCCTTTTATATACATTTTTAAGACTTTGAATGCCTAAAATATAGGAATGCATTAGTCGTGCATTAACAAAATTGAACAAAATCCAGAATTTATTTAAAATTATAGAAGATTGCCATATTACATATTTGCTTTGTAAACAATAGGACGTTCGGTAACTTTCATTCGATACGAGTAACTGTGATCTGAATTACGTTTGTAGCCTTTGCCGAACGAGAAGTTCGAGTAATCGTGCGGGTGTGTCGCTTTTCGATTTGCAGGTCGATTCAGAACCTATCTAAATCTTTAAAGTCTTACAAATGCGTATAAAAGGATTTTCATTTTTCTTATAATCTATTTCACCGACTAACTCCGTAAACGCTCTTGGATAAAGATATCGTGGGGTCTACTCTCGATCTCCGTCAGACGTCCGTCCGAAACAATTGCTGCCAAATAAGCAATGCTTGACCAAATGAAAAGACGCGTGATACGAATGAAGCTTCATACTTGATATTTGTCTTTTAATTTTGTCGAATATTACTTATTTGACAGTAATTGTTTCGGACGGATGTCGGACGGAGATCAAGAGTAGACCCCCGTATCCGAATCCGAATCGAACGTTTAACTCGGAATGTTCTGAATAGCTCGGGAAGCGCCATTCGATTCGAGAACGTTATCCAATCGAAAGATTCGGTAAAAATATCGAACAGCTCTGAATCGGGGTCCTGAATCGAAAACAGTTTTGCCTAACGTATACATGACTTACCTAATGTTAAATTTTGGCCAAAGAAATGTACATGCGGCCGTACCACGAAACTGAATGCATTATACATAAAAAACCGACCTCAAATGTACGTGGAATTACATATAATTACCAATTTTTATTGAAATCGGTTACCGGAAAATGTGCAAACTGGGATTCATCACCTAGTTCGTCACTATACGGGACTTGACACAGGAGGTAATCAGATCTCACTACTCAAAGTATATTAAGAGAGAGAAACGCATTGAATTGGAAAATAGCAATATCAACCATCAAAATAATTGCTCCTAATAATATAATTTAGGCGCTATTTATAAAAATGAATTTTCATGCGTGAACAGCCACACTTAGAGGTGGATGATTTTCGTCAAAATTAAACGGGACCACTATGGAGGTACCCACTTTCCAACAAAAAAAAAATCATGAAAGTCGGTTCACAAATACCGGAGTTATCGCGTAACATACATACAAAAAAAAACATAGTCGAATTGAGAACCTCCTCCTTTTTTTGAAGTCGGTTAAACGGCGTTTGTTCGATATTCATGGCGTATTAAAAAAGGATCATAAATATATCGCACCAAGTAAAAGCCGCAATGACAAATCAAATAAAAAAAATGAAATTCATACAAAACCAAAATAATTGTTTTTTAAATAAATTATGTATCTCCTGATTACAAAATCACTTGCCCGTGGAAGGGAACGTCCCTGTTTACCCGTTTACACACGGTTATGGTGCTTTTGCAGTTTATAATGGCATAATTATGCATTATTCGCGTTTTCGACTGGTGTTTATCTACGATAACGGTCGAGCGCGTTCTGAAGTGTAGCAGCGGCAACTAAGTGAATTTCACTTACTTTGGGGATGCGAAGTACATATACACTTGCGACGTCGATCTATGTATGTCTGTGCATACGACGGAAGTATGTGAATAATATAACCGTAACGCATAAAGCTCTTAAAACTTTTTTGCGTAGATAGACAAAATAAGAAAAAGAAAATGAAGCGTCGAAATATAACATTTTACCCTTCGGTTTATGCGTGCCTCGCTCCTCGCGTTACCACCAAGGTCAAGAGATAAGTTAGGATTTAGGTTACATTTCGTGGTCATAAGTCTGCAATTCATTTAGACTTTTTATGCAGGTGACACGTACGACTAAAATATTAGTCACGTTAAGAAAATGTTACTTACTTAATTTCGTAGGATCCATCGTTAAAATAATAATAAATAAATTATTAATGATAATTTGTCATGTAACAAACTTGTAAGTTGCTTAGATTTTGTTATGACACAAAATATCTAATCATTAGTCTCCCGCCGTCCAAGCGTTGTAAAATTGCAGTGTCGGTCAGATTTTTAAAAAACTTCCGTCATGTTTCATACGCGAGTCCGCGCATCTTATAAGAATATGAATGTGGCCGCTTGCCTAGCCGCCAGGTACGGGTGGTTATACAATGACATATACTAAATACTCTAACGACAAAATAATAATTATTATACTTAAATAATTATTAAAGTAAAGTTATCCAAAAGTATTTTAAAAAATCTTTATGTTTTTATTCTTTAGACGAAAGACCTTCGTGGTCGCCAAATATTATTAATATCGGAAAAGACAACCTCGTTTTGAATTAGACATCTATACCGACGCTTCCCAAGTCAATCAGCGGAAGGACGGGCCCTTTCGAAACGTCAAATTGCGTTGTCATATTATATTCTTAATTCTAATGTTGTGTAAAAAAAATGTTAGTCCAAATGACAGGCCTAGCACTCGCCGACGTTCATAAATATCGATCCAACATTCGGCCTTGTGCACTATCATTGTAACCGTTATCGTATCGCGACGTGAAAACCTAACAAAATTCCTGATGTGCTCTTAGATTTCTACAGAAAATAACAATAAAAAAATCGAGAAAAAATGTATAGTTTCTTCATAAAATTCTTTGTGTCTTTGTACATACACGAATTAAGAAAAAAAAACGGTGAAATGTAGTATTTGGTAACTTTTAGTTTATGGGAATTATTATATAATATTCTCCAGTCGAAATGAAAAGTTGGGTTGTTAATATAAATTATTGGGTGGGTTAATATAAATTATTGTAAAACCTCCTTTTTTAAATTATAGTCGTTTGTTCATGTTATTTTGCTACTTCTACTACTAATACTTTCTACATGTTTTGCTGTTTCGAGCTGTCGCTTTCTTAAAATTGATTTTTGGCGCTCACGAAATCGAAATTGAAATCTAAAATATAAATCACCTACCTGGCCGATATATTAAGGAGCTTGTTGTTGTTGTCTCGAGGCAAGCGGTCTATGATGGCAAGCACTGAGAGAAGTGCCGCTGTAAATCGTAGGCCGTAGCGGGAGACAGAACGCGCGAATGAATCTGCAGAACCGCTTGTCGTCATGCCCCCACACCCAGTACCCTGTGTAGATAAGATGCGAATAAGGTAAATATTATTGAGTAGTGAGATAGCATCGTGAATGGTCGTCAGTTATGTGGCTCCGCACTCCCCCAGTTGCTATTTTTTTCTTTCGAATCTTTATTTGATTTCAAAGGGACTAATTAACTGACTAACGAACAAGTCAAGTTTGCAATAGACGTACGAATTTGCAAATCTCGGTTGTTATAATTTATACTGCGTTATTCAATAACGTAGAAGTTGTGGCAAATTGTAAGTCGTGGTGTGTCCATTCGTTGATTTGATCAAGACGTTATAAAAAAAATTGTTACGTGTAAGGACAAAATACAATAATTGATGTGTCACGACTTACTTCTAGCGACGTCACGCCAGTGAAAATCAGAGACAGTGAAAATCGAATTATAAACCGTGTATTACTTCAAGAATTTTTAAGTACATAACCGGATTTATTTGGACCTGCCTTCGACGAACATTAAAAATGCGTAATAAGTAAGTCAAGGCGTTTTGCAAAAATTTCATTAAAAAAGCTGGCTTTATAAGTTTACCTCTATATAGACTATGGTACAACTGTGGGAAACACAACTTAATTATGTTTCATAAAATTAATAAAACAAAAATAGTTATTTTTTTGTAATTTTACACTGAGAATTTTATTGTGAAAAAGACACCGAGATTTTTATTGTTTTATATAATCACATATGTAGGTATTCTAAGGATTCGTACGAAGCGTTTCGCTTCCACATTTGCGTGGCGAACGGCTATGGAGTGGAATTTCCTGCCCGCAAACTTGTTCCCTGAACGGTATAACTTCTGGCCTGTTCAAGGCGAGAGTGAATAGGCATTTTTAGGTGTGCATGCTCCATCAACGTCACACATCACACCATCAGGTGAGATGAAGTCAAATGCGCACTTATTTTTTAATAAAAAAAACAAACTGAAAACATGGGCCAGTATTCGATTCGTTGGCTTTGCATTTTAGATATTCAGCAGTTGTTTTTAAACTATCTTAATAACGAATTTGGTGATTTTGAGATATAGGCCGCTATTTCAGACAGCCATCGAAATGTAATGAAAATGACTTGATGATTAATACAATACTTACACGAAGAATTTTATTGTCAACAAGAAGTTACAAAAGCGTCAAACATGATTGTTGGCACATATACATGGAAGCGTTCAAACACATTACAGAGTTCTATTACCTAAATACACAATGTGAACACATTTTTATGAAATGGAATATGAATGGGAAAAAGTAAAATCTACCAATGAAATCTATGACTAATTCATAAGTAATTGTTGACTGGTTGAAATTCTATCAGCAATTTCGAATATCTGATTAAGGTAAAGTTTACACTAATTAGAAAATAATGTGATGTTAAAATTTTTGTGCTTCAACGGTGTTTTATTTACGGATGTGCACTATTACTGAGCTGCTATATACCTCATTGTATTCATTATTGTCATATGATGTTGATCCAAGCATACTGTTAAGCTCGGCGTCCACGAAGTACTTGTGCATCTCCTTTTGCCAATTAACGTGTTTTGGTAGCGTTAAGAGAAAAATAAAGAGTGAATTACATGGAAAACATATTGCGTAATATAATTAGAAAATAATAAATTTCATATATAGCGCATACACAAATACACAACATAGAAAAGACATTTATAAAGTTTAAAATAAATATAGTGAAGTTGCAAATACTCACTGTTATATTATTAAAATACACATAGATAAGTATATAATTAGTTTTACTAATATTTATATTCAATTTAAAGTGATAGTAAGTACATACACATAATAATACAATAAGAAGTCGTAAAGAAGTGTGTTGCAAAGCTTAAATGCTATAATCCTCAGCTGCTGCAACCGAAACTAATCCCATGAGAATAAATTTCCATGTGCATAGCTAATTAAAAAAATTATAACATTAGTTAATTTTACATTATCTAACAAGGTAATGCATATATGTATATATATGTGGGCCCATTTACAATGGTCTAAAATTTGTACATTCAATAATCTACACCATGAGCTGCAATATTGTTCAGTGTTCATTGGACGCCTCGTGTCAATAGTAGTAGTCGTGTTATTATTCTCTATCTAGTGTTGTCAGCGTTATCTCGCATATACATTATCTTACTCATTTATCAGTATATAATTCATCAAATACCTAACCTTTTTATCTGTAGTTTTGCTGTAGACACGTACACAAAACTAGTGTTTATGCATTATTTTGGAATACTAAGATAAATTTGAGTTAAGAAATAAAGTTAAATCTTTTCAAATGACGATTTTGGAAGAAATTGTCTATTTCGGTTTTTAATGATCCAATCCACGTTATGTTAATTTCTAAAGACATTGCAATACTTACACCCTTATTATTTTATGTGTAGAGAACTACTACAACTTTTTGTTCGTGAACAATTAAAAATCACGAGAAGATCTAAAACAATATAAAACTAAACACAAAAATAATTCCGTACATGTTAGCCACATGGCCATACTTTCATCAAATCATCACACACATCAATCAAAATTTTGTTTTAGTGGTGGAATACTTTAGTAGTAATTAATTAGACCGATTTTGGAGACTACGAGTAGAACATTTTCAAAAAGGAAAACTAATCGCGAAGTTTATGTTTATTTGATTGGTTCGATTTCGTTACGACGTTCTCTATTTACAAAAAAAAATTGGACCACTGTAGATGGGCCATCTTGTACAACTATATCATGTATATTTGACTCGAACATACAATAAAATATTTCATAAATAGGTTTCACATATAACATACCTGTATGAAAGTGCAGAACTGGACGCAGACGAGGCAAAGCGCGGTGACGGCCTTCAGCAGTTGCGGACTGGTTAACATGCAGTCACCCAGACACGACTCCAGAAAATCGTTGTGTCGCTCCAGTACCTCGTCTACATTGTTCACCTGAAATAATACATTGAAATAGACCCGTATCCAGCCGGCACGTATGTGGAGTGTACAATCACCTATAATAACGCACACACTCAACATAACCCCGCACTAAGGAAACCCTGTGTCGCGGGTGCCATAGACACACAAATAGACAACTACAAATTACATCCAAACTCAGGAGAAAAATAAATGTAGGCCGTACAAATATTTCACCTCTGCGTGGCAGTCCGGCATGATGGCGGCAGTGTGCAATTGGAAAACAAAAATACAACCAAACATTCCGTACTTCATTGCTGGTGTATTATTACTACATATACAGATCCCATAAAATGACCTTGCCTAATATCTATATGTATAAATTAACAAAAATTATGAAAAAACAGAAGCCAAAAAACGACAGAAAAAATACATCTTAAAGTAAAGCAGTGACTAAGCCACTGCAACCTTGTGACGTGATCTTGGAGCAACGCCTACAAATTTACAAGAAGCCGCTCCGCCTACAAGATAGATCATAAAAATAACAACATGGCTGACGAATTTGTACCTTCAAATGGTAGGTACGTATATAATTAGATACCAATACTTGTATAATTATTATCAATTCACGACAGCTACTCGCCTATTCCATAGCCCTTTCAAGGTCTTTATCTTCCTTGAATCCCTCGTTTACTTTTTGTAAACGAGGGATTCAATAACTCATGCGAACTAGTAGTTTGCCGAGCCACTAAAAACTACGAAGATTTTCGTCAATATGGCTCATTTAGATAAGGGTTATCAGCGGCAAACATTCTGCTACCATTAACTGTATGGTCGGTAATTGTATGGTCAATAGCGCAGGATCCGCGCCTCCCACACGGCAGCGCGCGCGCCTGCGGCGCCGCCTCACTCCGAGCACGGACCCGAGTGGCGCGGCCGCATAGTTCCGCAGCCGTGCGATCCAATCAACATCAGTGAACAAGTGCTTGTGAACAGTATACTTCCAGTGATCTAACATCCATTTGTTCAGGTTGGTTTGGAGTTATAAATATCATGATTGTGAAAAATTAGACAATTGTCTCTTTTCTGGATACATTTTTAGTAAATCGCGAGTAAAACCCTGCGTTTTTCGCAAGTTCTAATCGTGACGTTGTAACGTATAGTGTTACATATCGACAATGCAATAACAAAATTCACGAGAACCCGATCCAATTATTTCATTCCAACTTTGACATATCAACTGTGAACTGGCAACCGGTACTATCTCAATTTTGACAACTTTACACGGTGTAGAAAAAAATTGTTTGCATCATTTATATAGCGTCTGGTTTATTAAATAAAAATACGTAGTGTATGTGTAATAATAATATTAAAAAACTACCTATTTTTATTTAATAAATCAGATGCTATATAAATGACGCAAACATTTTTTTCTTTATCCTATAAGGTTGTCAAAATTGAGATAGTACTGATATCTAATTAATATTAAAGTGAAGTGTTTGGTTAGAGATAAATAACCTTACCTTACTGGATAGGTTTATTTGACTTATAGTATCTTTGAAATAGTAATCGGCCTCTCTCGTAAATATTCCAGCTCGCCTTTTACGATGAAGCTAAAATTTATGTTTATTTCAAACAAACCTCAACATCTTTTCATGCGCTCTACCGGCTTAAATGTTTAGAAATATTTAACGCCCATTCGGATTGAGAGAACCGGAGTCAGTGAAAATCGAAATGTCAACTACGAAAATGTCATCTCTATCACATCACCACTAAGTTAATGCAAAACATTAAATGTTGTGGGGCGCAAACATTGAAAAATCAGTTGTGAAGATCGAGGTCAACATAAGTGACGTCATCACAGGACGCGTGTTGCCGAGTTATACATTGTACGGGAAGCTGTAATTGATAAAGCGGTAGACAATTACGCGCTCCTGCTTCAGACCGTATTATTATGATGTTAAAATACGCACCTCCGGTAATAGCCTTAAAGTATACGCACACAATGAAGTCGTTAAATCGCAAATGCATATTTGTTATGCAATGCTGCGGTCATGTAGAGAGCGCTTGGTGCAACAGGCTAGGTTAGGTAGCTTTAGAAGGCTACGCGCGAATGGGTTTTAATATTAAGTTTCTAGCCTAACACCTAACTTTGCAGTTATCTTATGTTATATACCACGATAATTTAATATGTTACTTGTAATTCACGTATAAAAGTGACTTTTCAAAACCAAACAACCGTAGTAAAAGGTCGATAAAATGATGAATAATAGTGACAGACACGTAATGACCCCACGACTCTTGCATTAGACGGGGGCCTGACCGCGAGACCCCATAGGAAACTCATTAATTTAGCTAAGAGCAATCTCTACAGACACGAAACTATGCTATTTCTTACGTGAATGACTGTTGAGCACAGTGGTCAAATGCTTAAGTAGCAGCGACGGGTTTTGTTAATCAATCTTATTCATGAACCCACAAACGTTCCACTGCGTAAGCGCTGTATCCGATTCGTATTCGTATTTGTTTATGTTTTACGATGACACATTGGCTCGGGTCATCAAATAATGCAAACACTGCATTTGCTGACTGATGATGCCACGTCGGCGTCGCCCACTTGTCCTTACTAGGACACGCCAAATAGGGATAACCGCAATAGAACTACGAAAATATCGACTTCCGTAATAGATGTCAGCGAACGATGTTCCATAATTGGAAGACAATAATTTGATGCAAACTATTTAACACTTCCAAACACAGTATGGGCGTGTATAGCTGCAATAGAAACTGGTCATGATGCTTACAGTTCTAGTAGTGTCGTTTGCTTGATAATTAATTTCCGTGTGATTTCACCTTAGATAGTTTTATTATTCAAAAACCGGTCGAAATTAATATTCAAGTTATACACAGCAAAAGACAAGCATAGAGATTTTGGAGCGATATAAAAACGTACTTGCGTGAAATTACGTCCACGGAGATATCATAAAGATTATCAATGAAATTATCAACATATTTTGTTACTTTATTGGTTATCATGATAATTATTCATTCTGAATGAGTGTTATTAAAAATGGCAAACAGTGTGAAAACTCATTAAACACTTAGAGGAAGGAAAAAGTACGAAAAATGTTTAAAAACGATTTGGTTTGCGATGTTTTTTTGAGATTGACATTTGGCACGTTTGTATGCAAACACATGGCACATATTGCTAGCGGTAACATTTTATTGTTTCAAGTAATATTATAAAATTTAATAAATATCTAGGTATAGTTATCAATGATAATTACCACTTCGATCCCTGCTTTTTCGATTCCAACAACATTACTGTGTACTACTAAAAAATGGAAAGCAGATTTAAAGCACGATGGCAAATAATAAAAAACAAACATAGATATAAGAGGAAATAAAACAGAGGAACAAAAGTAACAACAGGCAGAAAGTGTAACTGAGAAGTAAAGTCTGTAAAAACTGTTAATCTCAAATGAGCCCGCGTCGCTCCAATAAATCGAAATAGAAACGCGTTTGAACGCCTTTAGCAGCACTTTATTAGCCATTAAACTTTTGATACAAAAGTTCATTAGTAGTAGCAAACTTAGTATTCATCATTGTACAAACATCCTACTACTAGGCAAGGGCATTTTTATTTCGTAAATGTGTTTATCACGCTTAATTTATCATCACAGATTATGTTTTATTGCAACCAGCAGGAGTTCAACTCTCAAATAACTGATTTGCTGGAAACGAAATTTGTGCTTTCGGCAACATCAACAATATAAAATTATTCATGGTGAATGCTATGTATATTTAAATTTTGAGCATATCTGTTGTATGTAAAACACAACTTATACAAAGCAATACAAATGATACGCAACTAGTACAATATTTGCATTGAAGACCAAATCTATTGAGATCATCTTTGCAGCAAGTTTAACAATTAACAAAGAATAAAATTATTGTTTGGTGAAATCCATATTTTGTCAGTGTACTTAAAATTTTTTGCTCCGATAAAAATGAACATTAGTAGGGAGAAAGTACCTACAACGTGTCTCAGATTTTAGGCCGAAACGAATTAAGCACAACGTTGACAAAAAGCAGCTCGACTCTTCGAAAAGTGAGTGATGAAATTCAAGTGTCGTGTGCGGAACGGAAGGCTTTTACCACTTACTTGGCCAAGTACCGGATGTGTGGCAATCGCAGATTCTCCGTGCTTATTCTGGCCGCCTATCTCTGGCGCATCGCCATTATGCTATCGGTACTTATGACTTATGACTCTTACGAGATTTCATATTGCTCACGTTTCTTCCATAAACAGTCATCAAAACTCATTTTTGTTGAGATAGATCCCATATTTTGCTTACACAAATGTAAAATTTCTAAATTCGTGTTGTGACTTCGTTGTTAGAAATAGTTTCTACACGTAACGTTACAATACTATAAGCTAGTTTGTATGAATTAAGCATGACGGACTTAATTGATAGACTCAGTGACGAAACTGGCTTAAAATTCATCAACTTTGAAGTGACCGTTAGCAATTACCCGGTCTCACACGACTCTGATTTAGTGTTACGTAGGCAAATTAAAGCTCTCATGTATTTATTATTCATTATTTAATACTTTACGTGGAAAGTAGATGTTTGGTTCAAATCAAGAAACCAAAGTAGTCAATTCGCTAGTTTATTTATATATTTTTTAATATGAAACGTAAATGAAAGTGTTTGAGTGTGAAATCTGCAAATATGATTATAAAACAAGTTGCACCAGTTCCAAGGTAGTCGAGGTGGAGGTTGAGTCACTGCATAATATTTGTTCACTTCGGAGACCCTAAACGCCCACATCACGTCTGCTTTGGTTGGCTTTCATTCATAATCATAAATTAGTAAAAAAGTAGTAGACGGTCAAAGTTATTCAACTATATTTAGTGTATATACCGCCTTTTCCATTTAAAAATTCAAATTTGTTTTGACGACTATAGAGGTGAGAATCTAATATAGACATTTGTTTATGTTAGATAATGTTTTACTATCTCGACTAGTGTTGTTAAAAAACCGTTTTTTTTCTGAGGTGAAAAAAAAACTATGAAAAAAACATGATAAGAAACCGTTTTTTTCTGAGGTACGTATTTTTTCTAAAAGTATTTAAATAAAAATATTACAATCTTTATATCTCTATATCTTTTGTTGTTAATATTATTCTTTATAGATAAATTGCTCAAAAGAAATGGGCAACACTTACACTGTTGTCAATTTGTGGCGAATTCCCCAAATTGCGGGGAATTTCAACTCGATTGGGCATTTTGTGAGATTGATGCTATGTGGGGAAAATGCGGGGATTCTGACATTTTACCTTTTTTTTAAATCTATCGATTGATGTTGCATCGCTACTTTGATGATTACTGAAAAAAACACTACTTATTTATTTATCTAAGAGCGATTTCAACATTTTTTCCACATCGCGCATATCCCAATAGCAACATTTACATAGAATTATTAGCAAGCCGAATAAATAAAATTATTCGATAGGATTTGAAGCACTTTATCCGGAATTGTTAAATTACTACTATTATCAGTCGGTGCGTCTTGAGCCGACGACCCTTCTAGTAAAACCACAAATGAAGATTAAATTTTTGTTATAATTATCATAGTAATTGATTTTAATAAACATGTTTTCTATATACATTCACATGTATATATTCTTAAAATAAAAGTTAGTGTCTCATTTTATTTCAGTTATTCCATTTTACTTTTTCTGAAAAAAAAAAACCAAATTTAGAAAAAATCCAGGGCGCTGTGTTTTTTTCAAAAATGTGAAAATTAAAATTTGGTTTTTTTTCAAGTTACAACACTAATCTCGATACATAAGGAACATAATCTTAAATAAAATAAAAACTTACAATGTAAAATGGTGTCACCCTTATGAAAAACTATAATTATGCTAACTCCATATAAAACAACCAGATCGGTATTGCAGCTCACCAGGCCGTTACCCTTTCCGACTAGTCTCGTATAATAACAACAAATCAAATGTTGGTGT